TATATATATATATATATATATATAAAATATAGGATGTCATATTTCCCAATTTATTTTTATTCATTGTTAATTGTTGCTCTTTTTACTGTTTTTGGTTATTAGATTAAGCGAAGCACGTTTTGAAAAGTTCGCACTATGTAAAAAATATTAAATGTGTTCAGTATCGTTTAGCTAGCACGATACCGTTGCTTTGAGACACCAACTCCTGTCAGTCAACGTATACCACAATTAATCAATTTTCTCCAATATTTATCACTTCCAGGGCCATGAAAAAACCTATTGCCATGTTACTTATATTAAACACCTATCAGCATATTTAGTAATGATTAAAACATCATCGATTGCTACTATTTCAGCAATACTAATTATCAAAATTAATCAAGTCTCATTGCCCCGAACAGACAAATTCCCCCAAAACGTATCTTTTCACTTTAAATTTCATTTTTTTGTAGATACCTTTTTTTTTCGGGGGGGAGGGACAGTTGCTGTTGATTTTAAGTTATTTAGTTTTATCAAAACACTTTTTTACAGAAGTTACTATAAGCAAGTTAAACACTTAGTTTTAGATAGCTTTTAAGTATTAATTCTGTGACGTAATTTTAACATACTGCACAGGTTGAACTATTTTCTCATCTGACATAACGAATGAAATATAATGAAACATTATATAATTTATAATAAACTCCTTTCTTGATTCAATAGAGCTGTAAGCTAGCAAGCATCACTGTTGTTATCTTTTAAATATTTGACAGAAACAGAATAGTCAAAATAGTACAATTTATAACATTGCACGATGTTAAAACTATGAGAAAATTCATTTTGCAAAAGTTTCCTCTGAATTCATTTATTTTAATTATTATTCCCTGATTTTAATTATTTTTAATTGCATAAACAATTATATAATGCATAATAGTATTGTCTTAGATAATTTATCAATTATTGATCAAATGAACAGTAGTCTCTCAGGGTCTTAATCTTCTGATGAGTAAAAAATATTAACATGAATGATTAAGTATTTCAATTTAATGCAATTTATTAAAAAAAAGATAGATGAAGAAGTATTATTTGTCTATTATTATATCACAATACAATAAGGGTAGTTTGCGAAATTTAAAACAATTTTATAATTGCTGAAGAGTCTTAATCAATTTGTAAAATAGAATGAAAAGCGAAAATTTTATAGTAAAAATCCTAATGTATTGATTTATTTTTAAAAGAAATATCTAATTACGTTTGAATAATTATTTAATTGCATTAAATTCAGGTAAACGTCCCTAAGCGAATCTGGCTTTTGCGTAGAAAATAATAAGGTGCTTTTCTACAGATGATTTTTTTTTCTATCCATCATTTAACGAGAACATGATTTTGTCTTTACCAAACGCTTACGCTCACAACAAAGCTATTCGTATAAAACGATTTAATTAAAATTTATTAGTATCATAAAGTCGCATTGTTGTTCTTACGTGTAAGTGATTTCCTTTTTACAACTTTTTTTTTTAACTAGGTATTTGTGATTCTGTAATTGTGACGACAACTTTCCGATTTGCTAGAATACTAAAATCTCTAACTGGAACTGTATGTGAGATGACAGTTCACATTTCAAAACGCTATTAATACATTTTATCACAAAAGGTATTCAAATTATCACCAATTGCAATTCACCATTAATCGTCATTCAAAATTATCTAAATTTTATTTGAAGATCAGAGGAAGGTGACAGTGAAAAAATTCAAGCATTTTTTGGGAGGAGGAGTACTCTCTCTGAATTGCTTATGTTTTCAAAAAGTACGAATTCATGGATATAATGAATAAATGCAAGATCTTGAAGAAAAATTAATTTTAATAATTACCTTTCATCACAGTCGCAATGACTTATGGTATGAAACCTGAAATTAAAGAAGTTGAACTTCCTTGTGAATCCCTCGATTGTGTAAGGGCAGTGATCGTGATCTCTGCAGCAGCGATCGGCCGCAGCGTTGTAGCCCAGCTCGTTGAATTTCCTCGCATTGCTGCCACTTCCGCACCAATTGGTGCCTGGATACAGGAAGAGATCACGTTTCAATCTCTGCAGGCCAGGATGGTCTCCATGCTTGGCCATCTGCCGTATTTGTTTGTGCAGTCCCTTACATTGTTTCCGCAAAGAATTGTAATCCGTGACGTCGGGCTTAGAGAGCAAGAAGCTATCATCTCGGACGATGGATGCATTCAAGGTTTGTTGGGGGCAGCTGGTGTCGGTGGCAAAATAATTGTAAAACTCATCCACTGACTTTCCCGATTTGATGTATTCGCAATCTCTCAAATCCCAGCCAGAATCATAGATCAACTGGATGAAGTGTCGACCATCGGTCACCTGAAGCAGAGTGAGGACTTGGTGAATGTTCGAAAGGGTGGAGAAATCGTCTGGGGATTCAGTGGTGTATTCTTCAGTGGCTAATTCGACAGTTGTTTCGATGGCCGAGACGTGACCACGCTGAATTCGAATTTCTAACTCGCCGTCTTGCAAGACGCGTGTGCACACGAAATCGTACTTCTTAGATGAGTACCGAGTTCGGTGTACTTCACTGGATGCAGTAGCGGTCAACAAGAACAGTGTCAACCACTGACGTAATCGAACAGGTGTCATAGTAGCATACCTATGAAGGAAAAAAAGTTCATATAGCATTTAATCGAACTTTGAGTAATTTAAAATATTTTAATTTAGTTTAACTTAGTCGATAATTACCATGTTAAAGAGAATTATTAATTCTAAAAATAAATGGCAATAAATACCTAAGGTTTACTTTGTAATACGGTACTCTCCTTTCCTGTTCGAAAGTTTCCTTTTCCAAATTATGTAAAAAATAACGAAATTGCAGGGAAGGAAAAGTTCTACTGTTTTAAACGTTTCTAACTCTTGTGTAATTTGCAGTTGAATAAAAGGTCTTGTTCTTAAGAAGAAAAAAAGAAAGAAAGGGTCATGACTCTAAGAATATTTAATTAGAAAACTATATATCGTCTTAGTTTTTAAACCATGCCATCTTTTTCGGAAAACATTGCAAAATATTTTTATGTCCCTTTTAAGAAATGAGATTTTCGAAGATTTCGAAATTTTCAAGTTTGGATGTCAAGATTCGATTCTTCATACATAACTTCAAATAATAATAAATAATTATAATTTTTTTTTAAATTTATTTATTTGCATTGAACAATCTCTGGATAAACAGGCTTTATAATTATGTACAATTTTTTATTTGTTTAAGTATGTCCAGGTATGTGATGAAAAACGGATAAAAGTAAAATTAAACACGATAAAAGCATTAAAAGTTCACTTTGTGCAGAATTATATCTGAATAAACAAGCTTTCTATGATGCGAGAAAAAAAAGTTTTCCTAAAACTATTTTCTAAACAAGATCGCGCTATTCGAACATTTATTCTTAATTTACGGTACGGCTGTGTATTACCAATTATAAGTCATATATCGATACACAGCTTAAAATCTAAAAGGAATTATTATTATTTAAAAAAATGATTTTAAATTATTATTTTGCGAAGAACTATTGCAAAATGAAAAATTTTGTATCAAACTTTTTGAAACGACTGGTACAGCAATTGTACGCGTTTTTTTTGTTTTGTTATAAAAGTACTTTATGTATTAAAAAAATGATATGTTAAGAGATATAATATATTGAAGTCAAAACAAGTGTGGTATCAAAAAAAGTAATATTTTTCTGTATAGAAAATAATATTGTATAAATATTAAACTCATTTAAAGCAATGTCTTAAATATTTGCGTCATTAATTAAAACATGCTATCAAATTAAATACACGAGTCTATTTTCTCCATTTTTCTTTTTATTTATTCAGCTTTCATCTGCGAATTATAATTTGATTTCTGCTAAAAAAAATCTAAAAATAATTTTCCTAAAAAATCACATTAAAAAGAAACTCAATTATGTGCTTAAGGAAATGCAAACTTCAAGTGATAAAAAAAAAGATCTTTATTTCTGCACGATAACTGGCATAACTCAATTACTGCTTATTTATATTATTAAAAAAATGATGTAAGTATGAATTCTTTCGCATACAGTTAGCAAAAAATTTGAAGGTAGTATAAGGGAAAAGAACGGTTTACATCCATGAAAGCTGATTCTGAGAAAAAAGGCATTTTTTTCACAGCACTGTGACTCTCGGGGAGACGTTATTTGTCAAAATTTAGTAATCCTCAAAATACGTCAATTCAATCGTCATTATTGTGAAAATAAACCTTTCATCTTCATTTATAATCACCTTTAATAACTTTTTTAGAATTTCATGAACATAATGGTCCGAAATATGCTAACTATTACTGCTTATTTAAAATAATTATAGGAAATATTTCAAATATGCTAATTAATATTAATTTATACTACCTATGAATTACATTTCGAAACCAAACTGAAAAACATATTTTGTCTGAATAAGCATACCTTTTTTTTTTCTCTCACGACGCATTCAAATTCTTGACTTTCAAAATATTAGGGGTGCGTCGCTATCTGAATAGTTTAATCCAAATCCAGATAGTTTAGTCAAAAGAGAAGTATAAAGTTTTTTTCTTCCTCTTAATGTTTATTTTACTTTTTTGTTTCTGCTTTATTTTGTTATATTTCTAGAACTATATTAGCAAACCAAAAAAATTTTTTTAACTCGGAAAAATTTAAAACTCGATTACCCAATGATAACTTCACAAAAAAAAGCTTCATAATTTTTTTAAAATTTAATTTCATTATGATGAAGAACTTGTATAGTGAGATAAGCACGTTTCTTCATGTTTTTAAATGATGTAATTTTGAATGACAAATTCTATAAATACACGAAGTTATTTGAAAAGTAGTCTGGAAATTAAATAATTAAAAATTCGCATTATTTATCTATTTATTTTTTCTATGCTTACTGAACACACTATAATTATATTTAGAAAAATTATTATCACGCTTAAATATTAATTGAGGCTAAATATTTCTGTACGAGTCGGGTATGACTTTGTTTCTTATTTGCTGTAACAAAAAAAAAAAGAAAAAATTGCTTAAGAAAATTTCCTTTTATACTTACTACTTTAACGAAAAATTCATAAACATTTATTGAAGCATTTAAAAAATTTAAAATAAACTTTTGCTTGATTTTGTTAATTATTTATTTATTTGTAAGTTCGTTGAGTATTTTTTTCTACTTTACATATACTTTATAAATACAAATAGTAGTAATTATTATATAAAAACGTATTTACAATTTAGTTAAATAATGTATAAAATTCAAATATTTCTGTTTGATGTTTTCCACTTTTTAATTATTATTATTTTATGTCAAGAGTTTACGCTTAATTTTTATTCAATTTGTGAATCTTAGTAGCAATCCGATATACAAATTGAGAAGAAAAAAAAAAAAAGAAAATTACTATACTCATTAACGTAAGTACAAATATTTTTTATTTCTGATTGTTGATGTTAGGTAAAAGGCATTATCATTGTTAAATGTTTTCGTAAAAGTATGATTAATTTTTTTATAAACTGTTAAATAGTATATCTATAGTATTTCATTCTTAATTAATGAAATTATTGGTACGCGTAAAAAGTGTTTCTATTTTAAAATATTTAAATTGCGAACTATAGGTTAAAATAAAAATGTAGAAGTGAAAATAAAAGCATGATATATTTTCCAATAATAAAAAAAAAAAAAATTTTTTTTTTTAATTTGCTCCCTTAATTCAGGATTTTTTTTTATCTAGTAATTTTTAATGACATTTTAGTAAATATTAATGACTAAATTTACTTACTTTGCTTTAGTTTTTCATCTCATATTTCTAACATTTAAAAATATCGCAAAAACTAAATATAATTTTTTTTTTTAACTTTTACTATAACTAATTTCTAACTATATTATTAAAATTTTAATAAACTGAATATGCTTACTTAGTTCTCGTTCTTCATCTGTGGTTTTTATCTCTTCCGATAGGAATAATAATAATAAAAAGGGAAGGAAAAAAACCCACGTGACACTTGCAGTAGGGATGATGACGTTCCACCGACTCACTCTTTGAATGACTCCCAAAGAACTGAGAAACATCTCCCGCTTTCACCGACGTCCGTCCACCACCCTCCACGTGGGGGGTTAGGGGTCGAAGGTAGAAGAGGGGGGAGGATTTCTGGATGGCTAATCATCTTCATGTTCCAGAATTTTTTTTACCATCCCTGAAATATTCCCGTGGTTGTAGGTTTCACTCGCCGAGGATGGAAAAGAACTTTTAGCGATCTTATTTATTTTTGGTAATCTTATTTGTAAAAACGTTACAATTTGATCTCACTTATTTATTTATTTTGTACCTGATTTCTATTTACGGTTAAATGATATGAATAAAGTGGAGTGTCTGTGATCATTCACGAAATTTGACATGAATGGTAGCTTTCGTTATTATTTCGCAGCGTTGAGCATTCAGATATACCACCCTCTCCTTACGTTTCTCGGAGGGGGAAAAAAAAGAATGAAATCGCACGAACATTTTTTCCCTATAAATTCCAGGATTCTTTCTCCCGGAAAGACATGAAAACTCGGCATTTCCAATCAGTTTAATCTATTTTAAAGTACAGGGCAATAAATAAAAAACGGCCTGAAACGAATTCTGTCACCGGCTCGCCTCGACCCTAGCGCTTACGTAAAATATCCTCAGTGGTAGATGGATTCTTGGGTTACAATCCCTCTTGTTGTCAAGCTAACCATGGAAAATTCTCGTACATTTCCTTTCTATGTAGTTTTATCAAAAAGTCTTCGACGAAGGCTAATTTGTCCCAGTGCTTTTTCCAGAAAGTTTCTTCCAGGTTGAGCACAAAATTTGAGAGTTGAACATTAATAGCCGTAAACCCAAATGGAGTCGACTGTTCAACGCTGGTTAAAACTAAAAGCATGTGAAATAAAATAGGTTGATTCGTTTGCGTAGGCTACACTACCGGTCAAAAGTTTGCGAAAATTTTGAAATCTACAAAGAAAAGGTCTAAATTAAAGGTCTAAATAGAACTGCGAAAATTCCATGAAAATTTGATGTGTTCTAAAGTGAACCCTCTACAGTTAGTTACATATGATCAAATTGCAATACTTTGTTTCTTGCGAACTGAATCCAGCTCTTCACCATGGATTGTTTTTATGGTGAAAAAATTTGTTAAGTTTGAACACTCGCCAAACTTGCAAAAAAAATTTTTTGTAATTTCTGTTAATGGAAAATAGTTATTTGAACCGTTCTATGTAAGCCCTCAAAATTTCAGATTGATTTGACTTTTTCTTACAAAGTTATAGAATTTTGAAAAACGCGTATACTTTTCTCGATTTTTGAGCATTCCACATATGCTGTCTTTTGGTCTATACATCTTCTACCAAAGAACTTTTTAATTTTAATGTTTTCTGTATTTTCAAATAATTAATATTTATTATAAAACAAATATTCTTATTCATTATTGTAATTATTAGTGTTTATATTTATTATTTATATTTATTGCTTATATGTGTTAGTTTTGTTGGGATATTTTTACTTTACATTAAACTAAAATAAAAAGTTATAACAATAATTACATAAATAATTCTGGAAAAATAATAACAATAGTATAAAAAATTTGCATTTTTACGAAACTATTTTATTTACAACAAGTCAAATATTTAACATATTCTTATTCGTATTTTGTAATTAAATAAATTAACATTTAAATCTTAGATTCCCCGAACCATCCACCTTTTGCTTTTATTATAGCCTTACATATGCATGACATTCGTTAAAACAAACATTAATCACTTCAATTGATATAGAGTTCCATTCCTGTTGTAAAATGTCCCATAACTGATTTCGATTCGAAATATCAGAGAATCGAATTTGTCGATCCAAATGATCCCATAAAAGTTCAATCGGGTTACAATCAGGACTCCGAGCTGGCCACATCATAATTTTCAATCGGCCTTCGTTTTCTTTTTTTTTTTTTTTTTTAATAATTTTTGCATAATTTTGACGTGTGCTTGGGATCATTGTCTTGCTGAAATACAAAATTTGGATCGACAACTTTTTCACCCGAAGGAATAGCATGACATTTCAAAATAGAATGGTACATTTTTTGGTCCATTATTCCATCTATTTTAATTAAATCTCCTACATTATCGTTTCCAAAACATCCCCAAACCATTATGCCACCCCCTCCGTGTTTAACCGTTGGTCGAATGCAATTTGGTTGCATTCGTTCTTCTTCACGATGCCTTACAAACATGCAACGTTTGGTCCCAAGAATATAAAATTTTGATTCATCAGTCCATAGTACACTTTTCCAATCTGCGATTGAACAATGCTGATGTTTGCGAGCCCATTCTAATCGTAGTATTTTATTTTTGGGCGACACGTTTTGCTGCGACACGCCCGAATAAGCCAGCTTTACGCAAACGCCGTTTTATTGTTGAAGTTGAAACTTTTTCTGAACCAGAGAATTATTTACACTTTATTTGTGCAGGTGTATCGAATCTATTTTTTAAACTTGTAACTATAATTTTGCGATCATTTCGATTTGATGTAATCTTTGGCCTTCCGGAACGTGTGCGATCAACGTCCTGTTTCATTGAACCTTTTAATTGTAGAATGAACGCATGCTTATGAAACGTTTTCTAATGCAGTGATTTTGTCTATAGTGTGACTTGCTTTTCTTAAAGATACTATAGCTGCACGTTTTTCAGTTGATATTTCTTTTCTAGGAGACATATTTATAACGCTGCTTCAAATAAAATAATTTAATAGTAAAAAAATTAGTCAATGAAATTTTACAATACATTCTTCAACTTCGAATAATTGTTTGCAAGAACAAACAAATTTTCGATGAAATGCGAGTATTCGGTCTCAAGCGAAACGCAATCTGTTGTAATTGTTTTGAACTAGTCAGTTGCTCTTGAACTCTTGCTTGAGCCAGTCGGGGCTACCATTGCAATAGTGCAATGATTTTGGTTTGATTATTTACAATTGTTAAATAAAGTATTGTTTGTTAAACTTCTAGCATTCAATGAACCAACGCAATGTGTTCAATCGTGTACAGTGACAACTATGAGATATTGTTTTAATTATATTCATAATAAATTCTTTGTAATAACAATAATTACAATAATGAATAAGAATATTTGTTTTATAATAAATATTAATTCTTTGAAAATATAGAAAACATTAAAATTAAAAAGTTCTTTGGTAGAAGATGTATAGACCAAAAGACTGCATGTGTCGAATGCTCAAAAATCGAGAAAAGGGCACATGTTTTTCAAAATTCTATAACTTCGTCAAAAAAAATTCAAATCGATCTGAAATTTTGAGGGCTTACATAGAACGATTTAAATAACTATTTTCCATTAACAGAAGGTACAAATATTTTTTTTTGCAAGTTTGGCAAGTGTTCAAACTTAAAAAAGTTTTTCACCATAAAAACAACCTATGGTGAAAATCTGGATTCAGTTCGCAAGAAACAAAGTATTGCAATTTGATCATATGTAACTAACTGTAGAGAGTTAACTTTAGAACATATCAAATTTTGCATGGAATTTGAAAGATTTTTCGCAGTTCCATGAACATTTGAATTTAGACCTTTTCTCTGTAGATTTCAAAATTTTCGCAAACTTTTGACTGGTAGTGTATATTTTTAAGTTAAGAGATCAGATACAAAAAAGCGTGATTCTCTGAAGAAAAAAAATATGAAAGTTTGAGTCTCTAAATGGTTTTTTTTTTTTTTTTTTTTTTTTTTTTTTTTTTTTTTTGTAGCGTCTTGCGCATTTACAGAGATACCAACTGCTCCGCTTTCAGCAAATGATTTTCTGTAGTGGTAGAGAAAGAAAATTAATGCATGCAGAGGTTTGTACAATTTTGCCAACACTTCAAAAATCTTTGTCACAAATAATGCACGCTGAATTTCATATCATATACTCGGGGCCCGCGCTTAGGATTTCAAATTATTAGCCGGTAAATTAGCCAAATGTCAAAATTTTTCGCCAATTTTCGAAAGTCTTCTCCAACTGCAAATCTTAACAATTTCTTATGATAAATTTTTCCCATTAGAAAACTATTTTACGGTAGTTTGTTTCAGACTTATAGTATTTGGACACCATTCTATTTGGTTAAGCGGCGCATCTACCGAAAATTACTGTAATCGAATAAAAAATACTGATTTGCTTAGAAAAAATCATTTTGACGTAATTTGAGTATCGAGTTAAATATCTATTTTTCTTTCCAGTGGAAGTAATCATTCGCTAATACTTTCGCCAAAACTCAATTTTATCGCATTTGATGGGGTGGCGAATGCTTAGCTCTGGTCCTGTATATTCGTTTCAGTAACGTTTACGTGGTGGTGGGCAAAATTATTTTAAGTTATAGTTACTAAACCAAAAATAGTGTATTAAAAAATAAGTTTAGCTACCACTGGAAAAAGTTTTCTTCAATGTAGTGGGTCTATCTATCACTACAAAAATATAATTCCAATTCACTAGTATATAAGAGATGTTAACCAGATTCTATGTTCGGATTACCTTTTCATAGATGAAGGTTGACATTGTTGATAACTTCTATCCCCACATTCAAAGTGGAGCAAGTTGGCATCTCTGTATTTCTGAAACTATTTAATGAAATAATTTTAAAAACACTTATAAATAATTGCAAAATTTGTTCACATTCAAAGATAATCACGCAATAATTCTGCTTTTCAACGGAAAAACTCTTAATTATACTTTACCAGTCAGGAAGGACCACATTTTATAAAATTTCTGAATTAAAATACGAAACCTACGATTCATAAAATACAACTCTTTAAACATTGTCTGATAAAACAGCTGTAAATTAAAAAAAATAATGGCTATGGCATTTGAGTCGACAAAAATAATCAAAGTATACTTTATAGACTAATCATGTAAAATCTGTCGACAGAGTATGGTTTCTTGCGATTTACTTCGTTTCAATAAATATATTTTAAAAAAGAACGCTTTTTGTGCAGACATTCGTTCAATTTCTTATCAGTTGAAGTATAACAGATAATGGAGTAAACTTAAACAGAGAATTGTAAAGAAAAAAAAGAAATCATATTAAGTTGAAGTGGTT